AAATCTATTTTGTGTACAAAAATGTTCATATGCTCATCAAATTATCAGATATTTTATAGAGATTTCAATAATGAGTATATATTTGATTTATAAAAATCATACATAATAATGATTATCTAAAAAAAACTTAAAACTGTCTTATATAACATATTTTCAAAATCACTGTTTATTTAATTACATTACTTTAACTTATTATTTTACTACTAAATTGGTATTAAAAGAAGTTTTTTATACTAGTATAACTCATTACTATTACTTATTACTTAATACTATTTTATATCTTAATATTTTACTTATATCAATTTAATTTAAATTTTAAATATATTAAATATATCTAGTATATCCATAGTATATCTTATCCACTTGTACTTTTTAGGCAATTCAAACAAAATTTATTTAAACGAAGAATTATAGAATAATCCTTTTTGACTATTTAAAATAATAGAACAATAACTCTAAATCTCTTTTATTTAGATAGCATTTCCAAATTTTTCATTAAACAATAAAAATAAATAAATTTTGACTATATTAGATATATCTAGTATATCTTGTGTACTTTTCATTGTATAGGAATAAAATCATATCCCGACTATTTATTAATTATTCCAATTTTTCTTTTACAATATTTCATTCACTTTATTCAAATTCTTCATTTCTTTGTTATTATGAGCGATGGAATGTTAATTTATTTAATTGGTAATTTTCATTTTTTTTAAATATTATTTTTTCTTTATATATATATATACATATATATATATATATATATATATATATATATATATATGTAAATTATATATGTATACCAATATTTACATACATATTTATATATATATATATATATATATATATACATATATATTTGTGGCCCTCTTCACTTTCAATTGACCACAACTGTTCCCATTCATTGTATTTGAAAATTGATACGGCCTTGATAAGCTATGTGTTTAATATTTATGTGTAATTTATTTGATTTGATGTGTAATTTTCTTTATGATACACTCTATATAGGTATTAATGACCAACCAAAAAAGTATCTTCTACTAAATAATAAACTACTATAAGTAGTTAAGTTAATTAAATATGGAAATGGTCCTTATATTTTTTTAAATAGATTTCGATTAAATACTGATAAATTCGAGAAGGTGCAATTTTCACTGAAAACACATGGATTTATATTTCCAAGTGAAAGACAATGATACTGCTGCTTGAGATCAGGCTGTCCGAGGCTGGAATCTCTGATTTAAATTATCTAGTTTTAAACTACTGAAAATAGCTAAATAATAAATATTTTATTTAATGATATTTATTATTTTATAAATAAAAATTGCAATTCATTATTTTCAAGGGCGTTCGATCAAAGTACTTGAAAATGTTATCTTATCTTATCTTGTTGTATAACTTTACGATTTTTTTTTATAATTAACAGAAGTTATCTTACTGACGATGATAAGATGTTTCAGTATTATGATTCCCATTGAATGTGAGATTTATCTTAGGCAAATAAAAATGTAGTACTTAAATAATAAAGAAAGATATCGAAATTGTTTGGAGATATTAAAAAAAATTGAAGTGTTTCATATTATTTCAAACTTTTCATTCATATTAATTTTAAACTTTTAGAATTATTATTTATAATAAAAAATTAATAAAATTCAATATTTGTTAATTACGGCTTCCCCAACGGTTAGTATGAGATTTGAATCATTGATTTCATGTTCGATACCTATCTCGGACAGCCTAATGTCAAGCAGTAGTGAAATCGGTTCTCACTTAGAAATATAGATGGCAATATGTTTTTCAGTGAAAATAGTAATTGCTGCATTGATAAAAAAATCTATAATTTTATGGGCGGTTTTTTTGCTGCACATACCAATGTAATTTCTTTCTCGAGAGAGCAACCCAGCGGTCAAACATCTTTTTTTACATGTAGAATATATATATATATATATATATATATATATATATTTATATATACTAGCAAACCTGACGAACTCCGTTTTGCCACCAGATGGTTTCGTGAGAAAGACGAAGAAATTTTTTGCTTGTTTTATATTTGAGAAGGAAAAATTTGATTTTATTGCACAACAGTAACAAATTTATTTCGATTACAAAAATGAAGTGTTTTTTAGTTGAACTTCTCTACGTAAATGAAAGTGAATCCGCAAATTATCCGTTTCATTGAAGTGCTCTTTCGTAAACCACATTTTTTGTTTTTTGGTCTGACATTAACACAAACAAAGCGGATTGTTTTCCAACTCGTGAACAGGCAACGTATAACTGCCCATGCGAAAAACAATGATTTTCTAAATAATCTATTTGAAATTTATCCCGCAAACACTAAGCGATTGGCCTTGCAACATGTTATTGCAAACGCAAGACGAACAGGAAATTGCAATCGTTTGAAGTCAAACGGAAGACCAGTCGGAATCATTGGTATGTCACCAAATCGCCAGCAATTTTTGATTGAATGGTGAAATTCAGTGCGTGTACATCATTATACTTTGCGGCAAGAATTGCTCGTTGACTTAACCAAGCATAATTCTGATAATTCTCACTAATGTCATTACTCGAATTTTTAATTACGGTGTGCGAAGTTCCAGCAATTTGCATTAAGGCACGATGCCATGCACCACTAATTTTCTTAGCTATAAACGAATGCAAAATTGTTGAAATCGGTTTGTGCGTTCTAGAGGAAGGAAAACCCGACTTATTTTGTATATATGTAGATAATAAATATGTATAATGTACAATAGTGTTGGCGTATATTTGTTGCAGCAATATCCACAAAAGTGTTTTTTTCACTTTAAGATCATATTTGAGATCTATAACCTCAAGTGAAAATTTCATATCATACTGCTTGATATCGAGCTGGTCAAGATTTGGATCGAAATCGGATAGTTTGTTCAAGTCAAAAGTAATAATAATAATAAATCTGTTATACATATTCCATAAATCTGATGGAATTAATAACATTTTTGGTTCTTTTTATATAAAACTAATATATGACTCTATATATAATAAATAATTTATAGTCCGACAATAAAGTGCAATAAAATACACGTTTTGATTATTTAAATATTTATTTAGTGTCTAGATAAAACTTATCGAAAAAACATATGTTGTTTGTCTAGAATGCATTTGAATGAAATCGAAAGTAAATATTTACATATATGTAGATCGATATGTTTGTTATTATATTTTATGAAAGAAATTATTTATGAGATTTTTTATAATTTATTTTATGCATTTTTGTATAATTCATGATTTTTTTTTAATAATTGTTAAGCGATTTTTTTCAATGATTTATGATATGAGACATCAAAATTTTAAAATAACAAATGTTGGAATTTTTTATATTACTGATATCAATATGAAAGCAAAGTTAATAATAAAAATATAAAGTTGGCATAAATTAATATTTCTTTTAGATAAATAAATATATTTTTATGAAGATTATTCACTTCATTTTTTATTTTTGTTTATTTAATTGCAATCAGACTTTTTTTTAATAGGGTGTAAATCCGTACAAATGCAACGGAAGTGCGTTACGGCAAGGTCGAGTGCCAATGATTCGTTATTCGCTCTCGATGTTATCATTTCTATACGGGTCGATTGTGATTGGTCCTCGTATTTTCATGTCATTACATTTTAAGGTTAACTATTAGTACAAATCTTGAGTTAATAAAATTGTCTAGATCGGAAGAATATTTTATCCCGTCCCCCATAAATAATTATAGTGCAAATAAAAAAGCAATTGAAAAATCTATGCCGTGTAAGAAACGTAAGTTTATTGAAATAATTTGTATTATTCGTGGTTACTATATATTTTTGAGGATATTAAAATGGAAATTATTTTTATATGCAAAACAGATACTATAACTGTTCAAAAAAAACAAGCAATCAATGATTGTATGTTAATTTTAATTACATGAAGTTCTTCAAACACAATTACATGACAAGTGAAATTGTGAAAACAATATTTATTAAGGCGTTGTTTAAGGTATGCTATAATGTTCAGAAACCTTTGAAACGTTGACTTTGATATTAACATTGACCAGAAATCTAGAATCTACCTAAAAGCTGATAACTTTCAAACTGCATGCAATTTTTTTTTCTAAATTTTTGCCGAAACGGCTTGACGTTGAGTTCTGGGACATATTAATTTTTAGTTTTAGCTTTTTATTTATTTTTAACATAACGTAATAACGATTTAAACTAGCAGGAGAGTGAAAATTATGATTTTTTTTCCAAAAATTTCCACAAGTGAAAGAAGGTGGTTGACCGCTGAGAAACAAATTACATGTGCTGCAAAAAAACAGCTTATTTTAAGGTATGCCAAAATGTTCAGAAACCTATGAAACGTTGACTTTGATATTGACCACAAATTTAGATTCTACCTAAAAGCTGATAACTTTCAAACTGCATGCAATATTTATTTTCTCTAGTTTTTTGCCATTACGGCTTGACGTTGAGTTCTGGGAACTGTATATTAATTTGTTTTAGCTTTTTATTTATTATTAACGGAAAATATTTGTTGTATAAAATTGGCAGACGAGTGATAATTATGATTTTTTTCCAAAAATTTCCACAAGTGAAAAAAGGTGATTGACCGCTGAGTTGCCCTTTCGAGAAACAAATTACATGGCACCAAAAAAAAACAGCTCATAAAATTAGTATTCCGAAAGCTAATAATAAATAAATAGTAATAAAAAAATATTAATAATAAAAAGTATTTTTTTAAATTTTTAAACAATTCCAAAATCATTATTTTCCTAAATCTTTTGATTTTTTACAATTCTAATTACAGTATAGTCTCTGGCTTTGATTTAAACCAAATCTGGCAATAAAGTTTATATTGTTTTAGTTACAAATTTAAAAAAATGTATGTGTGATATGCGGAAAATATTTCTCAAAATATATCTCTTATACTCATTCCATATATTTTCATAAAAATTAAAACAAATATTTTAACAAGTGATGTATTTATTTTGATGAATATTTCAATTTGCTACTGTTGACAGTGCTATATGTTTTGCCAGCTGGCTGTGAGCAAATCCTAAAGCCCAATTAATTTCTTTATCTTGAACACTCTTCACCACCTGCAAAATAATAATTAATAATACAATAATAATAATACACAAATATAAGTTTAAGACCAATGTTATTGCAAGGTCATGTTACGTTCCAACTTCCATACATTATGCTACTAAATGATACTGAATACTGTAAAAATGTCGTGTATTTGCTGTGCAATCAGGCATAATAATAATAATACACAAATACTGAGTTAGGTTTAAGTTTAGGACCAATGTTATTGCAAGGTCATGTTACGCTCCAACTTCCATACATTATGCTACTAAATGATACTGAATACTGTCAAAATGTCGTGTATTTGCTTTGCAGTCAGGCATAATAATAATAAACAAATATTCAGTTAGGTTTGAGTTTAAGACCAATGTTATTGCGAGGTCATGTTACGCTCCAACTTCCATATACTATACTACTGAATCATACTGAATACTGTCAAAATGTCATGTATTTGCTGTGCATTCAGGAGTTTTACACGTAAACTGCAATGTCACTCGTATGTTATGAAGCTGGGTCAGAAAGACCCTGTTATCTAAGATCGTTTTGTTGACATTTGTGCGGTTTCTAGGTTAGGTTGAGAAATACGCCAGACTGCACAGCAACCACATGACTTTTGTCAATATTTAGTATGGAAAGTTCTTCATAACATAGCCTTTCCATAACATTGGTCTGTTCTGCGTCAGAATCGGTCCATAAGTTGAGTTTTTTGATTTTAATAGAGTAAATCAAAGGATGATATTCAAATTTTACTATCTCTTACCAATGTTTGTTCATCGTCATCGAATCCGAATGCAGAAATGAGTAATTTCCTCAGGAGCAGCAAATCGCTGCAAGCGAAGGGCCCGTTGTTGCCGGCGGAGCAGATTTCGCGGGCGTGCTTCAAATATTTTTTTCCACTGATAGTGTTAAAATCTTCCTCACTATCTGAAAACAAAAAAAAAAGATAGAAAAAACTAAATGAGACAGATTAACACTCTTTTAGTGGAACTTGAAAGGACACTTTAGTAGATTTTTTTAAAGGACGTCATTTCAAAGTCGATTAATTTGGAAAATTTTAAAATTCATTCATGCTTTACTTGAAACTGAATATTGCGATTGCATCTCCTTAAGGGGGGCGATACATGTAACAAGAAAAAAAAAATCGATTTTTTTTTTCATAAATCGTTACAATAACATCTCAAAAATATGCCTGTAAATATTCAAAACAAAATTATCATTATTTATACAATAAAAACTCATTTAAGTGCCACGCCTCAACTTGACGCTTGAGTGCTATTGTACTCTTATCTGTTTCTGTGTCAAAACTTTAAACGCGTTTTTCTCAAAACGACATTTTTGAAATTTGCGGGCGCGATAACTCAAAAAGTTCTCAACCGATTCCAATGAAATTTTGCACACATCTACTTTACAGTAATAGCTTTTAGTTAAACCTCAAACATTCCAAAAAATGTTTCAAAAATTAACCCTTTTACCAAAAAAACCATTGAAAAAAAGGTGAAAAATCGAACTTTTTTTTTCTAAGGTGTGCCAATTTACGATTTTGTGACTTTTTTAATTTTTTTTTGGTTTAACTAGAAGATATATGTTTTATGAACACGTACAAACTAATTTTTTTAAATTCAGATCACCGTACGAAAAGTGAGAACGCCCGCAAATTGATGGCGTTTTCCGAGAGGGTCTTGGCAGATTTATTTTTACGGCAGCCATTTAAAAAAAAAAATTAAAAAAAAATTTTTTTTGTGTATTTTAATATATAATAAATAACCCTAAAAAAGTTCAAAAAGATTCAATCATTCCTTCCCAGTTTAAAAAGTCCTCAAAAAATGGTAAAAATTAAGGCGATTACATGTATCGCCCCCCTTAAAAATGTTATCTCCCAGACACATTTATTAACTTCCCGAAGGAGAAGTTTATGTTTTCATCAAAAAATCCGATTCGCTAATTTTATGTTTTCTCGACGTTTCAAGCCATTCTGAATCGAATGAGACCAAATTTTGAAAAAGTATGTGCGTGTGTGTGTGACCAGATTTTATGCCGTAAATCGCCGTTTTCTCAAAAACGGCTGGGCCGATTTCAAAAATTTAAAAGCCATTCGATGTATATCGATGAGGACTATTGTTTTTCAGTATTGTTTGTGCGACGATCGGCCAAGCCATTTCTTTGTAATTTGAAAAAAGTGTTAAACCTTTCGTTCACATTTAAGCTCATACTACCGAACCGAATTTCTTCGTAAATAGCAGAAAAGCGAAAAGTTTTTCGTCCACGTTTTAGCCCGCAATTCTGAATCGATTTTGAAAATTCAAAAACCGTTCGAAAGATATTGGTTGGGAATCGACCTGATTAGTTTTTGGTAGAGATCGGCCGGGCCGTTTTCTTGTAATAAAGTTTTTCAAAAAAAAATTTCGACGATTTTTATGATTATGTTTTTGACGGTAGATACCATAGTCTTCTAGATCATACTAAAACTAAAATATTACGGCCCTACGACAACTCGTTTAACTTTAAAAATTCGTCAAAGTTTGCAAAAATTAGTATGGTCTTTTTGGCATTTGTCAAAATTAGAACTTTCATCGACGTTTGCTTAAAAACGCCTGAACCGATTTCAGAAATTTAAAAGCCATTTGATGTATCTCGATGAGGATTATCGTTTGTCAGTTTTCTGCGACGATCGGCCGAGCCGTTTCTTTGTAATTTGAAAAAAGTGTTAAACCTTTCGTTCACATTTAAGCTCATACTACCGAACCGATTTTAAAAATTCAAAAACTGTTCGAAAGATATTAGTTGGGAATGATACTGATTAGTTTTAGGTGAAAATCTACCGAGCCGCTTTCTTGTGATTAACTGTTGAAAAAAAAATTTAAGCCGATTTTCATGGAACTTTTTTGGGCGATATATATCATGGTCTTATAGAACTTACTGAATTATTACGGCCTTACGACAAGTAGTTTAATTTTAAAAATTCATCAAAGTTTGTGATGAGTAGTTTTTTGACGTTTGTTAAAATTAAACTTAGACGATTCACTTGGTATAACGATAGAGTACTTGGTCTTAATAAACGTAATAAATCATTAAAGTCCTACGGAAGCTGGTTCAATTAAAAAAATATTGATTTTTCAAAATTTGCCTTTAGAAAATACTCCAATTAACGTGTTTGTTGGTTTTCAATTATGTGTAATAAATCCACTCGAAATATTTTTAATCACTCATAAATTAATTTATTTTTTATTGATTGAGTCGATTATTTACATATATCGGGAAGTTCATGTAACTTGCCTCAAGGCTAAATACCAAACCAACTAGTTTTGTTCTTAATTTTGCGAAAGATGTTCAGCAGTTTTTGAGAAAACATTGATGAAATTCAAATTTTGGCTCATCTCATCACGAAAGTAACTTTTAATACAAATTTTGACAATCATATTTTTTCAAACCTTGATGAAATGTTAAAATTACACTACTTGTCGTTGGACCATAATATTTCAGTATGTTTAGTACGATGATCTTTATTATCATAAAAAATTGATCAAAATCGCCCAAACTTTTTTTTCAATATTTAATTGCAAAAGAACAGTTCGGCAGATCTTTACCAAAACCTAATTAACGTAATTCCCAACTAATACCATTCGAACAGTTTTTGAATTTTTAAAATCGATTCAGGATTGTGGGATAAAACCTGGAAAAAACAATTTACCTTTCTGCTAATTACAAAGAAATGGCTTGGCCGATCATTATGCTAATTTAACCAACGCGAGTCCTTATTGAGAGAAACATTAAATGGTCTTTAATTTTTTAAAATTGGTCTAGCCGTTTACGAGAAAACGTGAATGAAATATTGAAAATTGGCTTACATACACCTAATTTTTGTTTCAAATTTGGTCTCATTCGATTCGGAATGACTTGAAACGTCGAAACCATAGAATTAGCAAATCGATTTTTTTAGTGAAAACAAACTTCTTTATTCTATATATATAAATATTGGTTTTGTCTGCAAAATATAATTACATTTGCAGATGAGTTGATCAAATATGAGTAACATGTCACAAAATAAAGAAAAAATTCTGGAATGTTTTCTGCAAAAAATGTTAGTATTAACACAATTTGTATTCTTATTCATGCATAATATTTTGCAGAAATGAATTGACCATTATTATATTAAAAATACTAAGCAACTAATTTTTTACTGTCTAAGATATTGATATAGATTTATTCAAAACCTGATATAGATTTATTCAAATTGTTTGGTCTCATATAATAATTGTTTAGAAGTTATAAAAAATAAGTATAAAAAATTGAGTAATTAAGGTGAAACTTAATAATAAATTGGCTTCAACCTTTTTTTTAATATTACCAGATTCTCGTTTATAGTTCGGCACACTTATGACTACTTTAGATTGCTCCAAAAATCCTGGAAGAAGATGTGGTAAAATATTTTTTTGATCTGGTCCTTCATTCAAATCTTCCAAGTTGATTTGATTAATGAAATACTGACATTTCAGAATATCCACCGAATTTTTTCCATTTTCATTTATCTTCCCTGGCAGAGATCCACTAAAAATAGAAATATATCATATATAAAATTACGTATAAACTTTTTTGCTAGGCTCAAAAATTTAAAAATTGTTTGAAAATAGATAATATAGTACTGAAAATTATTTGCTTTTTTGTATTTTTCTTGGTTTGGTATGTATATAATTTTCACCTTTTTATATTTAATATCAACTATTTTTATTTATGTAATATGTTTTTTGGGTTACCGAATGATGACACACATTAAGTGTCGAAACGTTTAATAGAATAAAGATTTTTTCTATTTTAATCTATATTGTTAATTCGACGATTGGGCTGCAAAATACTTCAAATATGTCGACCCGGGCGCCAAAAAACCGGGTGATATAAGTAAAAGTGTTATAAGTAAATTTATTCATTAAAAAAGTTAATATTTTTTTGCTAGACTCAAAGTTTGGTTTCATTCAATTCTAAAAATTTTACCATCTTCCAATAACAAAAATTTAGTTTCAGGAATTTTTTTTAAATAAAATACACAGTCCTGAGTCAAATATTTAAATCTGGCTGCAATTACATTTTTTTCTATTTGTTAAATTATTATTACCTGACTTTGAAAGTATTTTCTTTAAATAAAAATGGTTCATCTTCTACATCAGGATTTATACAACTGCTTTTCCAAGAAGTATTATTCGAATCATTTTCCAATTCCAATAACGCTAATCGTAAATCGAGCAAACCTAAATTTTTGTAACTGAAAAGAAAAAAAAACTATTTGTTAACTCGTTTATTGTCTCTAACTACACTCTCTACATTATTCATCTTATATGTCACTATTTGTCTATTGTAGAGAGTGTTTTAGAGACAATAAACGAGTGGTAAGAGACGAATAAATTTAACATATTAAATACATTTTTAATATAATTATTTTAAATATATTATATTCAAATATTTTATTATTTTGGGCCAAAATATCTACTTGGATTTTGGGCCAAAAACCTAAAATTCTCCTTCGTGAAGTAAAAAATTGAATAGCGGTTTTTGTCAAATAAAATTTCTTTTAATAAAATATGTTCATTAAAGTTTTTTATTACCTTTTGCTAAAAATTTTTTTAGTTTTTCCTTGAAATGCAATCTCATAGACATCCTTCGGATCTAGAAGTTCCAAATTGTTTTCATACAACTCATAAGTAACTTTTAGGGAATCCCACTCGAATTCTATGGTTGCTTCTGATGCATTTTCAAATTTGAAATTATCTAAAAATCAAATAAATTTAAATCATTAATAATGGATAATTTATGTTAAGTCCCAAATTAATAGAGAAATTTAACGATCAAAATTGATTCCTGAAACTTTTTTCAACGAAGTATAATTTTTTAATTTACTACTATTGAACTACATATTTTTTTTTCAATATTACAAAAGTCTAAATAATCTACAATGTTTGTCAATATGCTAATTCAAGTATAAAAAATTACATTTTTTATACAATATTACAATATTTATATTTATTTTATATTATATTTATACAATATAGTTCCTATTTCAATCTTACATTATCTTTTTGCCAATCGAGTCAACCTAAATTTTTCTAACCAAAAAAGAAGAAAAAAAAAGTTTGACAAATAAATATTCATATTGCTTTGAATTTAGGATATGAATACTGTACGTACTTAAGTTCCACAATTTGGAGCAATTTTTTAGGATTTGTTCCATCTTAATTAATTTTATGGATTATTCCTATCAAATAGACCTTATTTTTTAATTCAGGAATATTTACATTTTTTAGTCAAATTTTTATCTTAAATATTAAAATGGAGCTCTCGATAAAATGATCCGCTAAAACTCGAAAACGGCTAAACCGATTTGGCCAGTCTTAGTCTTGAAAAATACGTGCTAATCAGTACTCAGGTTGTCGGAAAGGTGAAATATTATTTTAAAATCGCGTAGAAACTTTACATTTTTAAGTTAAACATTTTTGTAGAAGCGTAATTTGAATAAAACAATGGACGGTGGCTAATACGTCAAATGTCAAACGTTTTTGACAGATGATGTTCAATTACGTTTAATAGGATGTTTTACGTGAATATTATTTAATTAGGATTAAATTGTAGTAAGTTAGATTAAATTCTTCGTTGTTATATTTATACATGAAAACGTTATTAAACGGGTCGCAAGGGTGATTAGAAACTCAAAATATCAACTTTTTTAAAATGCTAATATGAAAATGCACTTTCTGGCATATTTTTCTCAAACACGGTGCTCTGAAAGATCTCATTTGTATAATTATATTTTCATTGGTATTTATAAAACATTTTCTAGGTTATATTATTTTTTATTTATGTTATTTTAATTCAGAACCTAAATTTGGTATCGATCAAAGAGACATTTTGTCGAATAACATTTTCCCAGTTATAATTTTCCAGAATTTATCGAAGGATAGATAGTAATTTATGAAGGTCCGGGGTTAAAAAGGTCCATCACCGATGTCTCAAAAACCAGTAAAGTTAAGCATTGTTTAACAATATTTGAAAGTAGAGGGAAAAAGATGTATAACCAGCCATAACCTTGATTCTCATAACTTTGCTAAACCATAAATTATGATAAACGGTAATCCTTGAAAATCGATTATAAAAGTATTTTTTCCGTTGGTAGGTTCTTAGCATTAGTTGAAAGTGTAATTATTTTGCAAAATACCTTTAAAATTGAAATAAGACATTAAACCTGTTTGCCACCTGGGCATTCCAAGTTACTCCGCCTATAGGGTAAAAAGGTTTAGATAACAAATTTTTGAAAGGCAGCAAAAAAGCACATTTCTACAAATATGAAGTAGTCGTAGTTGCAGTTTTACTGAACGTAGTCAGAAAATTGTTCGTTTGAAATGTGCTATTTGTTGTGATATAATTGTTTTGGTTTTATAATATAATTAATATTTGCTCAAAGCGTCCAACAACAAAACAACACGTCCTTATACACTTAAAGTATTAATTTTATTGATTCTCTAGAAATTGTTTAGAATATACCTTACTTAGCAAAACAACGTTTGCCGGGTCAGCTAGTTATGAATAAAATGATAATATAAATATAATTATTTATAATTAGACATACTCACCTATGACATAATTAGCAGCATACCAGGAATAAAGGGCCCTGTGCTGGGTATCAATTATCATAGCACTTTCCAAACCAGGAACTGCATATCCTGACCTCAAAAGGGCTCCTCTGGCAGCCCTAAGGAGCAGAGGAGTTGGGCCACCAGTCCAACCCTGTAAAGGACAAAGAAAATTCATAAATAATAAAAAAAATTGGTACAAATGTAAAGAAATTAGAACTAACTTTGAAGACTAAAGCTTGAGAATTTTAATAACCTTAGTCATATTTTTGGAGCAAAAGTATAAAAATAACTAGTGGTGTATGGCATCGTGCCTTTAGGCAAATTGCTGGAACTTCCCGTACCGCAATGAAATATTCAAGAAATTTTAAGCGTTTTCAAATATATTATTACAAATACTGTAGCTTTCATTATTTTTGCTATCTTGTTATATCTGAGCAAATCAAATGTAAATCATAAATAAATCAATTCATCTCCAGAACATTAACAATCGTCATTTCATTTCGAATTCAATTTCAAAAAAATAGTTGCCTAATTGGCACAAAATTGAAAAAGTGCTCACGTATTGTCACAGTCTAAACGCATTTGCAAATAATTCTGTGCGACATTTTCACTGATACTGTGCTTAGCTTGGCGGCATTTTCACATTTTTCAATCGTTTTCACAAAATTGGAAAAGTGCTCTAATCCATAAGCAGTCTAATAGCACTTGGGTAAATATTTGTACCAGAGTGGCGCTTAGACTGTGCTTAGTCTGGGTAATTTTTTGAATTTTTAATCCAAAATTACAAAAATATTTTATGGAAAATCAAAAAAGATGTAATAATTTTTCATCCTCAAAAGCAATTCTTTTGTCAATACAAGCAGAAACTTTTTTAGATCATTCAAATCGGACGCTTAGTTCACTCAAAAACTGCCATTTTCTGCACATTTAACTCTGTATCTCCGAAATGGCTGAGCTTGCCTTTGCCAAAAACTAATCACCTCTTCTCCCAATCATTACAAATTGAATGTTTTTCAAATCATTCAAATCCGATACTTCGTTCTCTCAAAAACTCGATTTGTATTTTCTGCACTCTCTGCTCCGTATCTCCGTAACGGCTGGACCTGTCTTTGCCAAAAACTAATTAGCACATCTCCCTATCAATAGGAATCGAATGTTTTTCAAACCATTCAAAACGGTTGATCAGTGCGCCCGAAAACGTGGACAAAAAATGCAGACATACAAAACACACACACACACATCCATTTTTTCTGAGGTATGCCAAAACGTTCAGAAACCTTCAAAACGTCGAGAAAATCTAAAATTTTCATTTTAGATTTTTGGCCCATTACTATAACTACCCTACGGGAAGTTAATAAATCAGGACTAACTTTGAAGACTGAAGCTAAGACAGTCGTTGAGAATTTGAATAACCTGAGTTAATATTTTTGGAACAAAAGGATAAAATCAATAATTAACTTTATGAGGTTAATGAAATCTATTGCATCGAATTTGTCAATTAATAATTTTAAAAATCTGGTTTTAAATATTACTATTTTTACCTTTTGATTTTTTTCTGATGGATCCTGGTTCTCTTTGGATTCGCCCTCAAAATCAGGATTTTCAAGTTCATCCTGAAGTGAAGAAGGAGCTCGTAGTAACAAAGGGCTAAAAGTTCGTTTTTCTGAAGGAACAAATGCGTCTACATGTGCTATTAAGGATATCACACCAGCATCAGTCTATAAAAATATATTTGTCATAAATCTTTTCTATTTTGAAACAATAATTTACGAGAATTGGAAGATTTTTGGAAGCTGCTGATCAAATTGATCGATCATTAGAATAATTTAAACTTTTGTCAATTTTTTTTACCTTGGCATTGGAACTATATTGACAAAAATTTAATATAATTGAATTTATATTATAGTTGAAAATTGATTTTGATTTTTATTATTAAAATATGTTTTTCATAATCCTGTTCTATTTTGAAACAACAATTTGCAAAGTTTGGAAGATTACTGGAAGCTGTTTGGAAGTTCATCGATCGATAAATAAATTGACACTTTTGTCAAATTTTTTTACTTTGACGTTAGATTTGGTTTAAATTGACTCGAATTTAAAAGTGATTTATGAAAATTTGGGAATAAATTGAATTTGTTATTTATATTTAAAGGAGCAAAGTACTCAAATATTATTTTTGAAGCTTTTTTAAAGAAAACTCAAAGAATTTTGTATGAAGATTTTGGAAATTTGATACTGCTGATAAATGGAGAAGACAAAACAAGAACTGGCAAAATTATAAATAACATGATACCATGGAGTGTGAAAGAAAAAAACTTTTTGGACTTTTCTCAAAAATCACAGCCAAAATTATTTACTGCTATTGAAAGATAAATATGTTCTATATAGTTTCTAGACATCAGACAAAAAATACTAAAAAACTAAAAATACACAAAATAAAAAAAAAATAATAATAATAAAGCTACTTAAGCCAAGGATCTGCCTTTAAGAATATTAGAATAATTTTTTATTATTTACCTCTGATGGTGTATCTGCTATTGCAAATAATCCTGGTTTGACTTTTACATAATTTGTTTCCAAAAGTATCAAATTGGGATCTGAAATATATTAAAAAAATATAGACACACTTTTCATTATAAAAAACTTATATTTCTATCTATAAAAATCTTTATTCCTTATTTTGCTAAAATTTTAGTTACAATTTTTTTAAATATAACTTGTATCTGCGACTTATTGTTAGAAAATTTATCTTTTTATATATCTTTATTTTTAATTACCATGAGTATTTTTAACAATAAATTTGATTTGTTTAATATAAAAAATCTTTTGCATCTTATTTTGGTTAAATTTTATTGGATAATTGACTTTTTGAAAAAATTCTTTAAAAGTGCTGATATAATTGGCTTAGTCAGAACTTTAGTCAATATTTTTAGTCAATATTTATTAATTTTGTACTAATTATTTAGGATTTAGAGAAAAATAAAGGGTTATGTATGAAAAAGTATTAAATATCATAATTAATATGTTTTAATTTTTTTAAATAAAATGCTTTAAGGGGCACAACTAGTGTAACCGCCTAACAAAAGGTGATTTTTGGGAATTTATATTAAAAAAACTACTTTATCAATCAATTCAAAATTTTGGAATATATTTATATATGTTTTAAGAATACATAATAAAATTTTTGAGAACAAAAAATTGAATATTTTTTAAGTTATCGTCGATCTCCAACGTCGCGACAAAAAAGGCCCTTCACTGCTGCAGTGATTCCGGCCTTCTATGTGGATGAAATTAAATAAAAAAAAATTTTTGTTAAACTAGATAATATTGTTTGTAAAATGAACTACGATAAAGAAAAAATAAATAAAAAATTGACAAAATGACGGCGTTTTTTTAAAAAAAATCGAATTTTACCCAAAATTTTGGTCGTTTTTGGACTGCCATAATTCGATTTTTGATCCGATCAAAAAATCGATAGTTCATTTTACGGAGAACTATATATAGAACATATGAAAAAAATTCGATAGTGATCTTATCATTTATTTTTAGTAATCACTGCAGCAAATTCGAAAAATGCAGTTTCGAGAAAAACGCGTTTATAGATTAAATGATCAATATACTATATAGTATATAGTATATACTATATATATACTCTTTAAATGGCTGTGACTCAAGAACTATTCAAGATATCGATTTAAAATTTTGGTATGTTATTTTTAAAGGTATAACCTATCAAAATTGAAAAATTGAAAATTCGATTTTTTGATTCACACTAGTTGTGCCCCTTAAATGAAAATTGAAATTTGAAAAACATTAAATTCATATTAATTTATAATAATTATTATTCAGTAAATTAAATATTTTGACTAAAAGTATTATTATTATTAAGTATTATTATTAATGATAAATTTGTGTTTTTTTCTATTAAATTTATATATGGAAAATCTGCCAAGGGTGATTTTTTATATTTAATTACTAATAAAATTAATATTATCTTACCGTTTTCTTGTTGGTCAAATTTATAAGAATAAATCTTGGAATCTTCAGTACCAGCCTCAATAATTGAAATATAAAAGGGCGGCTCGTTTTTGGGCTCCTTGGAGGAATCTGAAGGGACTCCAACTCCTACCAAAATCAACACTGCATGCGTTATTATTCAAGGATAACACTTTGGAAACCATATCGATAAAAAAAATTAAAAACACATTTTTACGCCAACTTTTGCTAAAAAAAAATAAGGATATTCTGCAATTTTCGAGGCCAGTAAAAGTTTCAGCAAACCACCAAATTTGATAGACAAATTAAATAACATCAATTTCTAATTTTATTTATAAAATGAAATTTCATCATTTTTGTTAGGGAATAGATATACTCAATTAGATATTAAATAGCTTTTATCAGAGTGTATAAAATTTTTGAAGTTATATAAATGTTTAATTGAGAAACAAATTACTACATTATAATGAGCGATTAATTCCAAAGATATGACAATATTTTTTGTCTTCATTTCTGATAAAGTATGATTTGTTTTATGACCAGAGTTACTATTATAGTCGACGTGTATTTTTTTAAAACGTAGAAAAAATCGATTATTATTAATTTCCATGTCCATCAATTAATGTTTTACCTTTTAGTTACGGTATATGACTGACATGTGTTGACAATGGAACGTTGCATATTAAATTTTCATAACATACATGCATTTATTTGTATATATATATATATATATATATATATATATACATATTTATGTATGTATGTATGCATGTATATATATCTAAATGTCTATGTATATTATATAATAACAACTTTTGTTTACTCACATGACAACAAGCAAAATGCAATGGCTATTACTATGGCTTGCTTCAGTAAACTCATTTTTGTAGAATCTGAAAAAAATGAATTGAAAATTATATATATAAAAACTAGTGGTGTGTATGGCATCGTGCCTTAAGGCAAATTACTGGAACTTACCGTACCAGAATTAAATATTTGAGAAAACAAATTAATAGATAATCAATAAATATCGATCAATGCTTAATAACAATTGTTTTAAATATTTTCAATCGTATGTTTTTTGAATCATTCAAATCGGTTGATCCGTGCGCTCGAAACCGTGCACGAAAAATTGTATCCGAACACACACACACATCCATTAATGGTCTATTGCAGTAGTTTTTGGTGTGTATAAAAAGTTGACAGCGAGTGCTTTTGCAAGAAATGCCAAAATGTTCAGAAACATTTGAAACGCAAAAATATGCAAAAAAAAATTATTTTAGATTTTTTGCGAATACTATAACCTACCCTACGGGAGTAAGATTTTACTGAAATTTTGTTTTCTAATTTAACAAGAATTTGAAAGAGTAAATTATCTTTTTTTCAAAGCATTGAAAGATTCTTTAAACGTTAACACATATATTATATAATAATGGTTATAAACAGTGGCGTCGGAAACAAATTTTTGATGGGTGGGCTCAGCCAAATATTGCCTATTTAGAATTTATCTAAATATAGATAAAATTAACCTTCATTTTAAAATTTCATAAAATGAAATTATAATAATTTAAAATGTAACTGCTGAAAGACTAGTGTTATTTTACCCTAGCTTGTTTCATGAATAATAATATTTAATTTGTAATTAAAAAATTGCAAATGCAATTAATTTTTTTTAAACTATGAAGGGAATTTAAATTTAGAAAAGGGCTATAAAACATTATGAAGTTTTACGACGTCTTCGCTTTAATTTATATCATAAAATATTATTATTTTCTTAAAATCAAATGAAAAATACTCTTTAATTATTAAAAACAGATGTAGAATTCAATATTGTTAGAAGTATTTTATTATTATACCATTAAAAGCACGTGAACCATTTTATAGAGAACTTTTTCAATCAAATTCATTAATTTATATAAACAATTAAGTTTGTTTGATGTTAAACATTCGAAGAAGAATTTGAACCGATTTGAATAATTAAAAAAAATGCGATTTCTATTGATTGGATGACGTACTGATTAGTTTTTGATAAAGGCAGATCTAGTCGTTTTGGAGATACGAAGTAACGAGTGCAGAAAATAGAAATAAAGTTCTTGAGAGAACGGAACATCCGATTTGAATGATTCAAAAAACATTTAAATCGCTGAAAGGCAAATCCAGCAATTTTGGAGATACAGGACAAAAAGGACCAAAAATGTGAAAATATTACATTGTCATTAATTTCACAAATTTGAAAAAAAACTAAGTACAGTAGAAACAGTCAAGTACAAAGTAGATATGTCAAGACATTTTGTAAAGAAAAGTTATAAGATGAATTTAAATGGAAAATTGTATTTTTGAATGTTAAAAAAAATGCAATTTTGCAGTCAAAAATGATCATTGGACATATGCACATCAAATTATCAGATATTTAATAGAGATTCAAACAATAAGTACAAATTTTGTTTAGATATCAATGATAATAGTCAAAACTTTCTAAAAACATAAAAATTTCCAAAAAATCTATTATTCAAAAATTTCAAAAAAAATAGAGCTTTTAAAAATGTTAAATTACCGTTAAAATAAATGAGTGTAAAATTGGCCTCAAAACACTTTTATCTTTCAGTAAAAATCTTGACTCTTGACTGTTATTATACTGAAGATGGAACGTCCATAGTTCCAAAACGTTGATTTATTGTCAAATTAATAACAACTTTTTTAAAACACATTTTGGATTTTTATTGCAAAGTTTTGCACAACAATACCTATATATTTATAAAAATATTAAAAAAAAATCTTCAACTTACCTTAATTAAACACCAACAATTAATCTCATACCATCACCACAATTCAACTACCAATCACGTTCCAATCACAGCCGTTTTCCTCAAGTTATTTTCAAATATCTAACAAGTTAAACGTCCTTTAAATTGTTCCCATTAAATATTCGAAAATAAAACAGTAAGTGTTTCTAAATAAATAAATTAAATCAGTACTACTACTCAATATTATTATTATTTGTTCCGACGTCTGGTTGACGCGAATGAATGACGAACAATAATATGTGGGACAGAAATTCATATGAATTGCTCGGTTGACATTACGTGACCAATAACGCATTTTTTAATAATGAACACTGAGAAAAATATTTATATGAAGTCGAGATATTGTTCAGAAATATAATATATAATATATAATATATAAAAAATGTGTTTTGGAGTCATATATAAGAAAAAACTTGGGTGGCATCCATTAATCACGTTATTGCTTTTTGAGGATTTTTGGACGCCCCATTACACTTGATGATATTAATGACATTTAGAATTTAGTACCTTCACCCAACATTATGTGTATTTTTAGTATCTAGAAAAAATCGTGAATTTATTTAATTTTCTTCTGCAAATATTTGCATTTTTTTAAGTTTAGGTAAAAAATAAATACACGTGATATCTTACCATACACACCTTTTTCTTACAATATTTTGTGATTTTTTATCAAACTTTTACTCTACCCCTTTTAGGTCTTAATTATTAGACAGACTATTCTTGGCCTTTTTGACGGAAATTGGCCATTTTGACAGAAATTAACTCTTTTGCCGGGCATTGTCCTTTTTAAAGTATTTTGGGCATTTTGTCAAAAATTGGCCCTTTTCACCCATATTGGCCCTTTGCATGAAAATTGGCCCTTTTTTACGGAAATTGGCCCTCTGAATGAAAATTGATATTTTGGTATTAACCGCGTCTGCAATCTGCAAATATATTTTTTATTCATCTCTGTAGTTTAAAAAGTAGTCAATCAAAATATTTAAGAAAATTAATAATAAAACTCTAATACAATTTTAAGAATCATTCTGATATGTTTTATTGCTAATAATTCTAAGGACTTTATTTACTAATTTTTTTTTTGGAGGATATCTGTCGCAATAAATATTGCTAGCTTTGATGTTTATAATAAAAAATATGAAGATCTCCATAGAAATTATAGAAAAAAACTATTCGAAGTCGTAGTTAAGAAAAAAACTCGTAATTTTTCCAAACAATAAAAGACGCTCACGTGACACGACGACTAATCACAATCGACCCGTATAGAAATGATCTCATCTACAGTGCGGGCGTAACACTCTTCCGTTGCATTTTCACAGATTTACTCCCTAGTCGCGCTTAAAAAAGTTTTTTTTTTGTTCAAAAAAGTATTATGTAGTCATACACAGGATGAAATTTGCTTGGAAATCGTAATGCTTCCAAATTTTTTTATGAATCGCAATTATTTGCAAACAGTATTGTAAACAGAATTATTAAATTAAAAAAGTTGTAAGATTTTTTTATATGTTTCTATACTGAGCATTCAAACGACGTTATGTAGGGATTAAATTTTGTTTGAACAACTATTCCCTAAATATAGTTAGTTGTAAAAGTTTTTAATAAAATATAAAGTCTTAATCTTAGTATAAAAATGTATTTAAGTCATAAATAAGAAAAAAACTTAGCTGGAATTTTTAACAAAATGCGCTTACTATATTTTAAGATTTCTTTTCTTTTTTGATATTTTGATGATTTATATCAATATTTAACCATCAAATCGAATTCTTGTATTTGTATAAAATTTGATGAAAAAATATTAATAATAATAAGTTATTAATATTATTAATTTTTATGATCGATATATTTATAATATATCTTGTAAAAGGAAATTTAATTAGTGCTGCATGATGTTTTTAAATATTCTTGATTTTGGAAAGTATTTATCTAATTATTTTTGAGTTTTGGAGAGTTTACGTTCAAAACTTTTTTTTATAAATGAATAATAAATAAAATCATATTTATTAAAACGCAGATTTTTTTTCCATGTGTCATTTATTATTTGTTCAGTCGTTGTTTCATATAAACGTACGTGCATTATGGTTATATAATATAATTATATTATTCGCGCAGGATGTTTTATTATTATTGCCATTTGCACGATTTCTCCCTCTCTTTTTTGACGTATATCAATCACTGCTTTAAAAATTATTCGAAAAAAACATTGTGAAAATAATTAAACTAATTATATACAGACTCATGTAAGATCCAAGATATTTTTTATTGTCTTTGCAAAATGCAGTGCTCAAAAATATCATAAAAATCATAAGTATAAATATATATAGTAGAATCAAAGGCAAGTCTATTAGACTATCTAACAATAAGTTGAGATAAAGTCCTACTCGATT